TAGCTTCCATTTTTGAAACATGGTTAGAATTGTGTTACGAAAAAAAACATATTTTAAATCAGTTAATTTATAATATTAATGCTCTGTAGATTTACATTGAACACTATTTTGTAAAAATAAAAATATCTATAAGAACACCGGATTATATATCTTACTGTTCTTTCTTTTTATATATATATATTCCCTCTACCCAATTTCGTGGTATGTTTTTTAGGCACTTGCCACACGCTGGGATCGATCACCTTCCTAATAAATCGATCATATGAACATCCTAACCACTCTTGGCCACGTGCCCATTGTATGTATTAATACAATACAACAGGCACTGAAAATTTTATCAACGCAGGTGCTCAAACTGGTGTACATCACAATTTACACAGCTTTGAAGTTTACATTCCACGTTTCGGCAAATATTTTTGCACACACAAATTTCTTGAAATGCTTCCCTGATGGAATTATTCACTTCTTTAACACTGTGGTTTTAGACTATAAACATTGTCCTTGAGTACTCCGCAAAAGAAAAAAAATCACCTGCCTTAACCGATCGAGCCGCGGAGAATCAAGGTCGGTTAAGGCACGTCAGGCTATATGACGTGTTCCGTATAGGATACACGTTCGATTCCTGTTGGAGAACGAATATTTTCTATGAAAATTTCTCGGATATTCAGGTCGGTAAATGTTATTAATAATGTTTATTATAAAACAGAACATTTACTTAAATGTTTGTATCTATAAAAAGAATGTATAAACATAAACGTGCCTTAAAATAATTGTCGGACTTTGTTTATTTCATAATATATATATATATATATATATATATATATATATATATATATATATATCGCGCCCTGTAATTTGTCCCCAAAATGGTTTCGCCGAAAAATCGACTTTTAATTTCTTCAAATTGTTCACTTCACTGATTACAAACCTAAAAAAATTAAAGGTGTATAACTCTTATATATGAATGGTGCTTTTCTTAAATTAGACATCGTCTAAACAATAACATGTTAATTCGATTGTCGCCTATTTACGATAAAGAATGATTGACCACATGTCAGTTTTTCTGTTTGATGTTGAATCAAGGAAAGCCATTGTCTTTTTGTCAGGCAGCGATATAAAGTCCGAATAAAAATAAATATATAAATAAATATATATTAACAGATACAGAAGACTTATTCTATTTATTTTTAAAAATCTCCCCCCCCCCAAAGCAAGGCGATAATGCCACTAGAATGCAGGGGATTACAGGGAGTGAAAGTTAAAAAGAATACGAAAACAGGGATCGGGAAGGAGAGAGCAATGAAGAAACTGGGTTCAAGACGACAGAAGATGCTGAATGACATTAGATTTAAACTTTTGAAGTTTGTAGTTATCGGAGAAGCAAGGAAACGGAAGACCGTTTGTGAAGAATAGCGAGACGTACAGCAGGGACATTAGACGAAATATGGCAAATGAATAAACCCAAACTATTAAGCAACACCATTATTACGCAGAGGAAGAATTCATGGATGAATTTACGGAAGAATAGTTTTTCATTACTGTAAATGAACAATTTTTGTAATGATACATAATGTAAATATAAAAAAAAAATATTCAGATGTAACTGTTATCTCCCTTTAATTTTCTAATATTTGATTTCCAAGGAAATTCGACGAGGAGAAGATTCGATTTAACGCTTTCAGTGAAGCCAGTTTTTTGGGGCAAATGACGTTTGCTGTTACGATTTCCCCCTCCCTTTATATATATATATATATATATATATATATATATATATGTGTGTGTGTGTGTGTGTGTGTGTGTGTGTGTGTGTGTGTGTGTGAAAAGAGACAAAAGGAAACCTTATTTAAAGCGACGCGTTTTGTCCTCTAATAGACTTTATCAAGGTAGATCCGAGGATTTTATTTTGTGACATGTATTTATATATAAGAGCAAAAATTTTATTTGTTTTTCAGTTTTGCTATAGGTATTCTTCGCAATATGGGCAATTTTCATAAGTGCGTTAATGTATCAACGACCAGCACTGTGTACCAGTCTTGTAGGCCAGACATATTCTCCGTGCTAAGTAAGACTAATACGGATTATCATGGTTTTGGAATCAATATATATGTGCCTTGTGGTTTAAAGAGTAAAGACTCGGAAGTAACAGTTGGGGATCCAAGTTCGAATTCACCTCGAGTTTTTTTTACATTCACATACATACCTTTAGAAAAGTTATGAATCTATTTTATCCCCGACAACTATGAATTGAATTGCAGGCCCGGCTGGATCTTATAGCCTTGGTTGGCAACCAGTCTACTGGAGAAAGAAACGGCAACCATCTGCAAAAGACATTATGAATTTAAAAAAAAAAGGAAAATGCCTCTCTTATTAAAAATAGAAAGTAATTGACTTAGAAGAAAAAATTCTCTAAAGTGTTGCCATCGAATTTCATCAAAATATAAATCTACACCCTGGGTTGTTCTTAATATCTCATTTCCTGATAGAATTACTACGAACCCAA